ATCAGTGAAGGTCTGTCACATTCATGACACTGGAGTTTCCTTGGCATATCATTAATTTATTTTAATAATTTTATTTTTATGTGGACAACAAAACTTCGACCAGTTGGAGATAACCTATACCTCTCACATACAATATCTATTAGATTTATTCATCTTTGTCTTGTAAGAACAGTGTTTTTGGTTTTGTGTGGTTTAATTCAACAGTAAGTAATTTATGAAGCAATTCTACAGTTTGTGGAGAAGTTTAACCTTTATATGCTTTAGCCGTCAACTTTTTCTCAGTTTGCTCAGCTAGCTCAGGGGACTTCAGGGTCGCTTTCAGGGGATTGCACACACACACATCAACCAACAACTGCATCGAACTCAATGTATCATTATTGCGTCTCCTTCCTCTTCTCCATGACACGTTATTCGGAAAATAAAGAGTGAGATATTTTGATGTTACTATCAGATTTTATTACTTCAATATTTGTCTTGTGTTGTAGAGTAAACTTCGTACATTGCTTGTGAAATTGTGCCAATAAAATATTAATCTTTAAATTGTAGTTCATTGGGGAGTCATTGAGATACACCAAAATGCACCATACTGTACATGTGTTGTTTAAATATTACTGCTGTTGCAGACATCACTGGTCCATGCCATTCTGAAAGAACTGTTCTCATAAGCGGTTCCATATTACTGGGAGAATCAGTATCATATGCGTCGCAAGAACCATGGATGTTCACAGCCTCTGTGCGGCAGAACATCCTGTTTGGGCAGCTCATGGATAGGAACCGGTACAAACAAGTGGTGAGGGCCTGTGCTCTTGAACGAGACTTCCTGCTGTTGCCCCATGGTGACATGACCATTGTGGGGGAGAGGGGTGTCACTCTGAGTGGTGGGCAAAGAGCAAGAATCAACCTGGTAAGGTGTGATAGTTTTTGTTGTTTACCAGAATTCTACTCAGTTGCACTATTGTGTTTACACGCAAACCAAGTATGCAACTTTAACAAGCAGTTTTTTATAGAATATTTATTAAGATAAATAGATTAATTCTGATAGAATTTCATCAAAGGGAGCAGTGTCCTGTAATAAATCCATAAGAAATTACAATTTGTTTTTCAGAAATTGTGTCTGCCAAGTCATCACAAGTTGTTGGTCATGTAATTAAAGATATGTCATTGTGAAGCAGAACCAAGTAATTTATTTCACTGCAAGTGTAAAACGTTTTCCACTTTCAAATGAGCTATTAATTACAAAAATTAAGTATTTGATATTTTCCGTTTGTGTCCCATTTTGAATCTAGAAATAGAGTATTTAAAAGTACGAGAGAATTTGAAACTTTTTTATCACTTGCCAGTCTACAGTATATTATTGTTGGAATGAAACACAACTGTCACATCCCAGCTCCTGACCAGAACTACATGACTCACCACCAAGCACAAATGGTAACTGCTACTGAAATTATTCACACACAACAGTATATCTGTGTTTAACATCATGCTAAGTAATGGTAATTCTTATGTGTGTGGATATGTATGTATATACTGTTGAATAGCATGCTTTTTGTGCAAATTGTATGGGGAATGGGGTTTCACTAGAAAGAGTCAGAGAATTATAAATTCCAAGCACAACAGTTGTCTATAAACTTATTAGCAAAGGCAAGTGTTCTCTGTGTTTAAGCACCTTCATTTCATAATTGCCCATTAGGGCGAGAAAACAAGTAAATGTCACATCAATATAAAATAAGAATTATTACTTTGTACATATTTAACAACATTTTAAAGAGTAAATGATTTTGTTAATATTGCAAAGTGAACTGAGACAGTGAAATATTAAGGCGTGCTGTCTAAGATCATAATTTAGAATCTTGCTGGGATACTTGATTTTCGGCTTCTTTGGTCTATTGATATTGAACACCTTGTAATGGGTTGAATTCAAGTAATTGGAAAACACAGCGTGCAATTATTTATTCACAATCTCAAAACTTACATCCATTCCGAAGATTCCGGATTACCATATTAGTGAAAGGAGCAGAGAAAGAGATGATAATAGCAGATGGAATATCTAGTTGTCTTGTTATTGTCCATCGACCATTCACCGTATTTATTTATTTAACAAAATTTAAGATATTTATTCAGTTTCATCGAACATATCCTTGTATGGCACCTTCTTGGCGGCTTCCGAAAAAATCGCGTGTAGTATTTTGCCTAAGGCGTCATAAATGAGCGGCCCAGTTTCAGTCAGGACGAGCTTCCAGTTTTCGTTAATGAA